GTGCAAGTGTCAGCCGAGGAGCCCGGGCCGGCGCGTCCAGAAGCTCACCCGCCGCGGTCGGGGAGGGCCGCGTCGTTGGCGCCCAGCCACAGCGTGGCCAGCAGGACGGGCTGCTTGCTGGCTTTCACTTGAGCCAGCACCTGTGGAGGGGGCATGGCCGCACCGCACACCCAGAAGCATGCACGTCAAAACAATTGTAAAGGGCAGCGAGCTGCTCAAGACACACGCTATACACCTGCTGCATCGGCAAGCGATGCGCCCGCCTGTCGAATGCGCAAGGTGGCTCGCCCAGGTGTGTCGTGGCGCCCAGGTGTGTGCAGCCGCCCTTGTGCAGGGCGGGCGGCGGCAGACGCGTGGGCGGTGGCCGCGCGTGGCATTATTACACAAAGCGTGCGCAATGCCTGACCTGGTCGAGAACGGGCCGCGCCCAGCGCGAGTTGTAACCGCCAAAGCCGCGGTTGACGACGTCCGCCTGATTGCCAAAAAAACGATGGAATGAGATAACTTTGGCATCGCGGGTGAAGGTGGGAGGGTTCCTGTGCGCAGGGGCGAGCATGTGAGGCAGCAGTCGGGCGGCCAGCCGCCCCTATCACTGATGCCCAGTGCGGTGCCCTGCGCGCCTTTCTTGCAAAGTGGTGCGCCAGCGTCGCCCCCCAACCGCCGTCGGGGTCGAGGCTGCGCTCGGTCAGGCTGTCCCCGAACAGCAGGATAGCGGGGCGCTGCAGCGTCGGGGGCTGGTCGTTGGCCATCGGGACGGGGCTGTGCGGCGCGTAGGCGCGGGGCGCGCGGCAGAAGGGCCGCTGCGATCGCTGCAGCGCGGCCGTGGCGATCGCTGTCAAGGTGCAGGCGACGACGACACGCCACACACCGGACTGATGAATGTGACCGATATGCTTTGGGCTGACGCTGCGCCGGGCCAGGCCGCTTATCATCGATTGGTTTGGACTTTGGAGCACCTGGTGAGGCGCAAAAATTCAAGTGCAGCCTGTTGACGACAGGGCCAATGCAATTGCAACGTGTGCAATTGGTCGTACATCATTGAAGACGAACGCAAAATCAACACAGGCATCAATCATTTTGTCATCTTTCCCCAGCACAGACCAAAGGACCGTGTCGTCACGGTGCGGTCGTGCAATATCGAGTGAATTCAGCGGAACAAGACGGCCTGTAACTGCAGCACCAGACGAGGGGCCTGTCCTGGGTGCGCGCCGCAGCGCACCGGAGCAGCAGTGACGACGTTGGCACACCAACGCCCGCGGCGCATGCTGCTTGCCGCATCGCCGCGACTGCGGCAGCGGCGCGGCTGTCGGCCTTCATGAACAAGTCGGACAGCGGAGCCGGGCTCCCGCTCGCCAACGGCGGCACCAGCGCGAGCGCGTGCGCCAAGCGCGAGAGGGCGTGGCTGCAGCTGCGGCAGAACACGCCGTGGGCGGTCGTGTTGCCGGTGCTGGTGCTGCTGCTGCTCGCGGTGGCAGTTGCACCGCGCGCGTGGCACAGCGTTCGCCAAATGCAGCAGCAGCTGGTGCAGCTGCAACAGGACGTGCTGGAGGTGCGGGAGCAGTCGCGGCGCGCGCCGCCGTCGCAACAAGCGCCTCGCAAGCAGCAGCAGCAGCCGGGATTTGCTGAGGGCGAGCCGCTAGTGGATCAGGGCCAGCAGCAGAGCCCAATTGAGGGGCAGGAGGTCGGCCAGCCAGCGCAGCCAACGCAGCCGACGCAGCAGCGAACGCCGGGAGGCGCAGCCAGCCCGGACGCCAATGTCGCGCCCTCGCCCGCCCCGCCCCGCCAGCCCCGGCGCCGCGGGCAGCGGTGGTGCCCGTATGGCGACCTGCCAGGCACCTGGGTCAGCGGCGGGCCGCCCGGCACCAGGTGGCAGCTGCTGGACGGCACCTGCCGACTAAGGGACCTGCTTGGTGTGTACGCCCCCACCAACAGCACCGCAGCCGCCGCCTCGGCCACGGGCGCAACGCCGGGCCGCGCGGGGGGAGAGCGTGCGGCGGCTACGTCTGCGCCGCCGCCGCCGCTGCGCCTGCTGCTGCTGTCAGATTCGGTGGACCGTTACATTACTGGCCACCTGTGCGACTGGCTGGGGGGCACCCAGGATGCCCAGCTGGCGCCAGAGGTTTTGCACGCTGCCGCCGCCAGCGCCGCCGGCGCCGGCGCCTCCGACGGCGCGTCGGCCGGCCACGGGGGCGCGCGGCGCGCGCGGATGCGGGTGCGGCTGCGTCGCAGGGCGCTGCTGCAGCGGGCGGCGCGGGACGGCCCGCAGCAGGAGCCTGGCGGGCAGGGAGGGGGCGCGGACGCGGCCCCCGGCGGGCGGCAGCAGCCCACTAATGTCTACTCGACAGCTTACAGCCTCCACAAGTGCGTGGTGACGTCACCCCTGAAGGTGGCGAGCAGCTACTTCCCGGGGGTGCACCCCACGGGGCCGTGGCACAGGAACGTGACGCAGTCGTTTCGCAAGCGAATTGACAGCGCCGCGGCGCTGTGGCGCGAGTTCGCCGGCAACCAAGACCCGGACATCGTGGTGAGCCCCAATGGGTTTCCGGTCTCAGGGTTTAGAATTTTGGGTTTGTGCCTCAAGTGATTCTAAGGTTGGGGTCGGGTTGTGGGTTTGGGGGGGTGCAGGGGCTTGGCAGTAGTACGGGGGGGTGAGGGAGCTGAGCAGCGCTGTGGATGAAGGCAGGGGGTGGTGTTGCTGGGAAGCGGGGATGGGCGGGCTGGGCCGGCCACCAAGACCAGGACGAGGTGGTGAGCCCATAGCCTGGGGCGTGGGTAAGGTCGTGCTTTGGGGGGCCGCCAGGCACCGTCGAGCGAGCAAGCGCCGGGCGCGCCAACCGCCACCGCGGCGCAACACTCTCCGCCCTGCCGACCAGTCGCATGCGGATCGCTTCACGGTCAACGCCACCCTCCCCCCTGTCTGCAGTCTGTGTCGGCGCTGCTGTGGGATCTGGCGCGGCTCTGGTTTCACGAGCGCGGCGCCGTCCAGGGCCCGGAGCTGAGCCGGGACTTGCTACAGGGCTGGATGGCGAATTTCACGGACGCCGTGGCCCATGCACGCACCGCCTTCCCAAATGTGCGCCGCAACCTGCCTCAAGGGGCGCCGCAGTGTGGGCGTAGTGAGGGTGGAGGGGAGGCCGGCGGCGGCGCACCTGCCTTGAATGCTGAGCCCATACCCCCTGTGGTCCTGCATGGCCGCTTTCGTCGGCCTCATCCTGGATGCCCCTTCATTAAACTCACACACACGCACACACGCACACACACACACGCACACACGCACACACACACACACACGCACACGCACACGCACACACACACGCACACACACACATGCACACACACACACCACACCACACATATACACACACAATTTTTGCGCACTCTTACACACATTATATCAGCCATTTTCAGCAGGCACGCATGCTCACACCAAAGCACTCCCTCACACAACCGCAGGCCAAGGTGTTTGCGACCCACACCACGCTTCCGCCCCGCTTCAAGCCCAGCACGGGCCTGGCCGCCAAGCCCTACCTCGGGCGCCCCTACTACGTGGCGCAGCTTAATGCGGCGCTGCGGACTGTGGCGGCGGAGCTGGGGTTGCAGGTCGTGGATTATGCGCAGGTGTGGGCGGCGCTGGGGTGGGGTGCTGCCCGGTGTGTCTCAAGTTGGGGCGGAGGGATTGGGGTCGGGGCAGCTGGTGCAAGGATCTGCGACCACGTCCCGGCGAGGCCGCCGTGGCAACCCACACAGGAGCTGTGGCGCGGGGGAGGGCCTGGGGAGGCGTGCCTTAGGCCGCGCACCTCGACGCATTCCGCGCGACTCCCCTTCCCCCAAAGCCCGCCTCGCCTGCCGCCGCCCGTCATCGTCGGTACAGATCGGCGGCCGCTTCCTGGCGGACCAGAGTTATTTGGTGGATCTGATCCACCCTGTGAGGGATGTTGGACTCGAAATCATCAACGTGTACCTGAACCTCGCGGCGCAGGCGCAGGCCACCCCGCCGCCACCCCTGGCTGACGCGGGCGGGTGATGCTTGCTTGTGTAACGCGGGCCTCTCTTGAAATAGATGGGTCGCCTGTGAGAAGCGCTTCTCTCAGGCGGGCAAGTTCGGGCAAGGCGCGGCTACGGGGGCCGGGGGACGCGTTGTTCTGGGAGGGGCAGGCGGATCACTCAAGGCGCCATCTGCGGGGCGCGGCGCTGCAAGGAAGCCAGGGCGGAATGCAGGAAAGGGCCCATGTGGGTTCGCCGGCCGGCGCTCGGGTGCTTGTTGCTCGGATGCGTAGAGTGCTTGGGAAAGGATGAAATGGAGCTGGCTGTTGGGGCTGGGTGGTTGAGCCTTGCTGCAGAGAAAAGCCGGCATATGGGAGGGGAACACCGATCGGCACTGCGGCTCGGCGCGTGCCTCTGTGCCGGCAGGCTGCTGCGGGTTGCAAAGGTTGGGTTGCAAAGCCAGGCTGCTGTGCAACCACAGATTGGGGATTCACACAGCAGGAAGTCCAAGTGGGAGCGGCTGAAAGGTCTGGGTGGCCTGCCGGGCTGAACCCTTGGGGGACTCTTGCTGAAATGCATGATGTAGACAGTGGGAAAGGTCAGCCTGAGGGGTCTGCTGCGTTCTGCGCGCCCCAAGCCAAGGGTCTGATTGGACCCCTCTTTGCGTGTGTCATGCTTGAAATCGTCCAATATCAGCTGTTGTGTTGTGGTCTCCCCGCGGCCATAGTGGTAAGCCTGCGATGTTGCGCGAGCAGATTGAGGGATGGTGAGTCGTGGCTGCGGCCCCCTGGTGACCTAGACCCTCAAAATCTGCATGTGTGGCGCCAAGTCCCCCAGCCCGTAATTCAGGCAGATTATCAAGGAAATTCAATCTCTCATGCAGCTGGCAGGTCTGCTGGAGGCCTGACACATTCAATGGACGCGGTCGTGGCGTGCTTGGGGCCGGGCCGATGTTCACAGTGACGCCTGCGAACATCCGCCTGCACCTGAATGAACTCTGCTCTGCCCGTGCTTAAAGCGCCGTTTTCATGAAGTTTCGGAGACTGCCTTGTTCACCAATTCGTCTTCAAATCACAGCACGACAAGCCGCCGCGTCCTCTCGGCAAAAGCCTTTGTCGGCGTGTCCCACCCCTAGTTCAGCATCTTCGAGAGGCATTAGCTCTGATTATTTCGAATAACCTTGATAAACCTTACGCTCAGCAGAACGCGCAGACCGCGACGTTTGGGTAAAGGGTAATCCAGCGTCAACGCTGCCAGAGGGCATAGCGCAGGTCTGGGTGTTCTTAAAACAGCCATTAAATGGCTTATATAATCCTTTCCATGGTCCCTACTGCCCGCCGGCCCCCTGCGTGGTGGTCGGTAGTTCTCGTGGGTCTTCTCATGCACGCCCAGGCGGCATCGGCGAAAACGTGAGTGTACAGGGGGCTTGGGCTTGATCAATGACACTCGTGCGCTCGTGCCGCTGCCACCGGCCGCAACCTGGGCGCCCCACGCGCACGGACGCATGAGTTCACGCCCGGGTGGGAAACTCACGGGCAGTTGCCACGAGAGCAGAGGTTTGCAGCAGCAGCAGAGAGCAAGGGAACGCTTCCCACGGCAGGCTACCGTAATACTTGTGGATTTGGCATCCCAGTGGCCCCAGGTCGCGAGGCTCGCCTGGCAATCAATAGTGGCAACATTCACTGCCTAGCCCTGATGACCCACCCCCAACCCCCACACACACAG